CTACCACTCCGTTAAAATTTGTAATGTCTATATAGCATAAAAATTAAATGTACTACTTTTATATCAAATTATTGATGATAACTCGTCTAGTCATACATATTTCTTGGTAACATTAAATAAAGAGCAACAAGAGAAAAGACAAAAAAAAGCAACACAAGATAACTCGTCACGTGACTTCCCACGTACGATGCGAAAGTTACGTCACATGAACGGGATACTTCTGAACCGAGTCAGCCCACGGGTTACCCACCAGTGACTCGTTCCCCGGAATCGTTCTCAACGCTCTCCACACAATACTATTACATTTAAAACCCGACCCGAACGCTAACTGCCAAACCCGATCTCCTCGTTTGACCCGAGACTTTGCCTCCGCGTAAGCTAGCTCGTACCAAAGAGACGAGCTCGAAGTATTTCCAAACCGGTGCAAAGTCATTCGAGACGGTTCAAGATCAAACTCATTGAGTCCGAGACCTTTTTCAACAGCGTCAAGTAACGCTCTACCACCAGCGTGAATACAAAAATGCTCGAAACATAGCTTAAAATCCGGAACATATGGACTACTCTTTAACCGGAAAAGCTTACTCTTTACAGTGAAGAGGATAAACCGGAGCTTTTCAGATAAAGGCAGAACAAGTGGACCAAGTGCGGTTAGGTTCGTCTTTAACGTGTCACCAGCAACAATGGTTAGTTCTTTAGATAAGGAAACACCAACAATACCTTTATCGTCTTCTTTTTGGTCAGCACAAGTGTAATGTTTATCACTAGCGCCTTTGTGAATCCTTACAAGGTGAGTCAACTCGTATTTAGACCGGACTCGGTCTTGGCTTCGGTTTGAGAGCAAAACCGCGGCGCCTCCTACTCGAAATAGACAGTTTGGGACTAACATGGACCGGTCGTTGCCTCGATACATGCTTAGAGTCATGTTCTCCGTGCTCACCACGACTGCATAGGAATTAGGATTTGCTTTAAGTAAATTTGTGGCGAGATCGACGGAGATTGCGCCGGCGCTACATCCCATACCGGAGAGATTGTATGTCTTGACGTTGGTTTTGAGCTTGTACCGGTTTACGATCATGGACGAGAGAGATGGGTTAGGGTTAAATAAGCTGCAGTTTACGATAAAGATTCCAATATCTCTTGGTTCGACTCCGGTTTTCTTGAATAGTGAGTCAAGAGATCCGAAAATGACTAATTCAGCTTCGTGTCTCGCCTCGAATATTGATGGTGTTGGTGGAGAGGTTAACATGCAACGTGGTGCGTACGTATCATCTCCTAAACCGGATCGGTTTAGTATCCTCGTCATGAATTGGATTGTTTCTTCGGTGTAGAGTTGAGCGCCTTTGGCCATGTTGAAGAACGTTTCGGATGAGATTTTGCAAGAGTCGGTAGGTTGGTGACATGAGAAATCGACTAGGTAAACCGGTTTGGACCGGGTGGTTGAGTAGGCATAGAAGAAGATGGATAGGATGAGTAAACCGATCTTGACCGGAAAAGAAGAGAAGAAATTATGGTGAAAATGAAGTAGATCAAGTTCAAAGAGAGAAAGAACGAGGATTAAAAGCAAAGGAAGCTTGAAATCTGCCATTGATGAAATTGTAGCATATGAGAAACAATTGGTCATTGGGTGGGTTTAAATTTATAAGCAAACGTACCATCCAACCTTAATTAGGATATGAAATAAAGATGGCATTAAGAGCGTTTCAAAATTTCCATTTATATAAAAAAAAAATACTGGTAATTAAATTTACGTACATAAGTAAATGTTATTGGTGTACAATAACACATATATACGACCGATTCAAACATTTTTATAAAATATCATAGCAATAAGTTAAAAGTTTATCTCAATTCATATAGGGTGATTTGCAACAATAACCAAAAAAAAATATATATTTGCAATCTAATGAAAATAACATGATGTGGAGAAATATGAGCTATTAGATTAGGACCATTTGGTTAGTTAGTGAAATATAATTTTTTTTTTAGGTTATTTTAGCCAATTTCCCATTCATATATAAGCATTTCTTTTTCTTTTTTTGTTCACATATATAAACATTTTAGTAATAGTAATTGTTAACCGATTTGTTATCCAACAACTATACCAATAATTTGTGTTATGATTGTTTTGCTTGGACTGCACTGCTTGCTTACTTCAATTATAACATTAATTAATTGTCATATATTTGAATTTATCGGCTCCGAAACTGTTACACCTTACGTGAAAAAAGTGTGTTAGAATCATGTGATTTTCCTCAAATTGTAGTTAATTAATGAACCCAAAATAGGAAACTCAAAAAGAGAAAAGGACTCTAAAGAGAGATATAATTTATTACGGATCAGTTTTTGGTTGGAGATTTGTCAGTCTATTTTAAAAATTGTAGGTGCAATGGTCAGTGGCTGGTCAAGTTGGAAGTGGACCTATGAGAAACAAATGTTGAGACAGTGTATTAGTACGTTTCGGTGTGTTAGTTGAGAAATTTAATTTATTTATATATAATACGTATAAAGTGACAGTTATTTCACAGTCGAATATTGTTGTATCAGTCCAGAACAGTGTGGTCAAATAGTAAGGAGACGGGACTAGGATGTTAACACGTTCCAGGTTCAATCTATTTATTATGCGAAACTAAGTCACATTATCCTGGATATCCACATAGATATGGAGATTTACTTTCGGCCCATTTGCATATCCGGAAAGAGGGTCTATCCATAGGTTGCGCCTCTCTCATAGATTAATCTAGACCCTTTGGTGTAGGATTTACCATGAGTTATCAAAAAAAAAAAAAATATATATATATATATATATATTTGGTTTAGGATTTACCATGAGTTATAAAAAAAAAATATATATATATATAAGTAAATGTTATACACTTTTTTTACTCAATTATATTATCTTATATACGATTGGTTTAGTATAACATATTTGTTGTAATGTGTTGATTTGCAGCTTGCTGTAGCAAATTCGGAGTGTTTAAAATGTTTTGTTTTTTAATATACTCAAATATTTTTCAAAAAATGTGCAAGATTATGTTCATCAATCAAACCAATCGTATTTGGAAGAAGAAAGGTCATTTGAAAAGTTTGAGAAAAAAGTTGAATGTTGACAGAATTTTTTTGTTTACAAATTTGGATAGTTACTACTCGTTTTAAGATAGCATTCAATATATGTTATGCCCGTATGTCTCACTGATTTTTTTCTGCATTGATTATATCGCTGTACACTTGTACTATTCAAAACTTATACTACGACTCTACATTATCGATTTTCTTGTAACTTATAAAAACAGTTGATAAAAAACAACTTGGGTTCTTTAAGCTAAGTGCTTGTAATCTAGTATTTTGGTATGATCGAATCTAATTCCATGCAGCAATATGGTTAAAGCTAAGAATCTAACTCTAAGACATGGGAGATCATATGTAAATCACTTTCGCATCTCTACAAATAACTGTAGATGATTGACAATCGGATATAATGAATGATATATTTCCTAGTTCTTCTATTTATTGATACCCAATAACCGTAATAAATTATTTCACATGGACTGATGAAATAACGAGGATTCATATCGCTTGTATTTATTGGATTCACTATTTCAATTTTGAAATGTCTCATTGGATTTGGGAAGAAAATATCTCTGTTTTTTTTAAAATTCTTTAAAATAATTTTGGCTGGTGTAGCTGTGGCAGCCTGAAGTTGAAACATGACGATGACAATACTAGTCTCTACTTCACATAAAAAAAAAATTTAGTTTTACGATTCTACTCCAAACAAAAAATTACAAACAATGGATTTTTTTTTTTTTTAAACTTTAAAATTCGGGGCCGGAACCCGTACATTTTAATGGACGAGAACTGTATTAATGATAATACCATGACACTAAATCATCAAAATTACATACAATGATGAATGAAACAAAACAATGATGAAGACTGTTAAATCATTTTAGCCACATGCAGGTCTTACTTACGAATGACCTAATGCATTAAGTATCATTATTGTGATAAGGTGCTTAATATACTTTGGTATGGTGTTATTTTTTTTATCAAGCTCACC